ATTTTATTTTTGGGGTCTGCTAGTGCTAAAAGTGGTTATCATCATGCTTGAATGTTCCAATTCAAAATATACATTATTTTTCTCAGATCATAGATTGTTGCAGCACCTCTCTTCCCAGTCGGTCAGTAACGCTCTGGGCTGCATTCCCCAAAAGCATTGTCAGCTTAAGTTGATCGTAGAACATTTGCCACCAATAGTCTCTACGATCAACTTAGGCTTACTATGCTTTTGGGAAACACAGCCCTCTTTAGTTTCGGTCTCTATAAAGCCCCTCTTTCCGAAAAGCGCAATGTGCTATGGCATCTCAACCAGGCCTTTTGGGGTCTCATGAGACTTCAGTGATGATTTCATACATCAACTTTGGATCAGATGTCTCTCCTAAAATAGAAGTAAAAACAGACCCAAACGAGACAATCGTTGATTAAAGAGTTACGGAGAACACTTTACTGTAGGTTTCCGTTTGAACTAATGAGCTAACTAATGAACTAACAATAAACAATACTTCTGAATTTATTGATATTGAAGTTTGTAGTTGTTTGTATTTTATTAATGCACTTTGAACTGACATGAAAAAACAATGAACCATTGTGTTTCTATTGACTACATGAACAAAGATTAATAAATAACCGTAAAGAAGCGATTGTGGCATCAGTAGGTTGGATTCCCAGGGAATGCATGAACTGATAAAATGTACAGAATAATACAATACAATTAATAATTTAAATAGCTTCAGATAAAAGCAGCTAATGTAATGTATTTCACTAGTTCCTGAGGCTCGAACCTGAGGCTCGGCTCAAACTCAGAGTTTAAACTCCCCCATAGGACGAAAGAAAGAATTAGGCGAGGAGTAGGAGTATTTTTGGATGACGCAGAGTCTGTGTCAAACTGCCCCGAGACACAAAGGTTGTGTGGACCCAAATGCAGTATTTATTGAACAAGGTAATCCAAAGACGTAATCCAAAGTACAGGCAGGGTCAATCACAGGCAGGCAGTCCATACAAACAAACAAACAAACACAACAAGGCAGGGTACAAGGGCAAAAGAGTAATCTACGGAACAGGCAAGAAATCCAAAAACCAAGAGAATTAAACCAGGAAGAATGTTTGGAATTGCAGTGTGACACTAAACAAGACTTCGCAGGGAATGAGGCTGTGTTTACACGGAAGAGAAAACTCAAAAGTGGCGTTGCATTATCACTTTTTATTCTGCGTTTAGATGAGCGTTTTGGGTGGGAAATCCGCGTGCATATGGTGACGCAAAAGAGTGTGAAATTCAAGGGGGTAATCCATCAACCGGAAGTCGAAGCCTCGCGGGAGCTGCCATCTTGTAGCAGAACTTCACTTGCATTAGCATTTCCATTGACTCCCATTCATTTTGGCGTCACTTTGACAGCGAATAACTTTACATCTGAGGCGTTTGAAGACCGCATTTGTCCTTTATTCATTTCTAAAGAAATACGACAATGTATAAAATGCTCCACAGCCACTAGAAGACAGACGGGTTGCCCGCGTCATATTTACGTTGTCAAGCTCTGTTTGAGTCTGCGCGTCAGGAACGGAAGTGCTAAAAAATCACCAAAAACGGGCTTCACTTGTCTCAATGGAGTTCCAATGACATGGCTCTGTCCACTTCTTATACTGTCTATGGTGAAATTCAATGTAGTATGCAGGCGGCTAGGTGGCAGCGGCTAAGTCCGCGCGCCTGCGTACAACCTTCACTGTCAAGCAGACTTTCGTGTTTTTACCGTTTACACGGGAACGAGACGGTGGAGCATTTTTAGGATTTCCACTCTGGAGGGTGGTTTCACTTTTTTGCGTTTTTAAGCTCCAAAAATGCGGTCGCTGTGTAAACGAAAGGCACATCCGATAAAATATTTTTACGTTTTCACCCGCGAGCGTTCTCGTGTAAACAGGGCCTGAATTTGTACATGGTTTAGATAGGCTGAGACACAGGTGGATGCAATCATTGATAATGAGACCGTGCAGTCAGTTATGGGAACTGTAGTTTATGAGGGAATGAAAATAGTCTGATGTGGAGTGCCCTCTAGTGGCTCTCAAGGGCACTCGAGCTGGTGACCGTTACAATCTGCTGCTTATTAGGGGTGTAAGAAAAAAATTGATACACTTGAGTATCGCGATATTTTATTTTGCAATACTGTATCGATTTTCAAAAACACAATATTGATTTTTTTTTTTTGTGGCTATGCATAGACACAACACTAGCCTAACGTTTTGCTAGAAACAACATAGCTATGGCTGAACCTCATGCTTACAGCTCGTAATGATGACTGAATGTTTAGGCTCCTCCCGAACCTACAACCCGAATTCCGGAAAAGTTGGGACGTTTTTTAAATTTGAATAAAATGAAAACTATACAACTTTCAAATCACATGAGCCAATATTTTATTCACAATAGAACATAGATAACATAACAAATGTTTAAACGGAGAAATTGCACACTTTTATCCACTAAATGAGCTCATTTCAAATTTGATGCCTGCTACAGGTCTCAAAATAGTTGGGACGGGGGCACGTTTACCATGGTGTAACATCTCCTCTTCTTTTCAAAACAGTATGAAGACGTCTGGGCATCGAGTTTATGAGTGTCTGGAGTTTTGGTGTTGGAATTTGGTCCCATTCTTGCCTTATATAGGTTTCCAGCTGCTGAAGTGTTCGTGGTCGCCTTTGACGCATTTTTCGTTTAATGATGCGCCAAATGTTCTCTATAGGTGAAAGATCTGGACTGCAGGCAAGGCCAATTCAGAACCCAGACTCTTCTACGACGAAGCCATGCTGTTGTAATATCTGCAGTATGTGGTTTTGCATTGTCCTGCTGAAATACACAAGGCCTTCCCTGAAATAGACGTTATCTGGAGGGGAGCATATGTTGCTCTAAAACCTTTATATATCTTTCAGCATTCATAGTGCCTTCCAAAACATGCAAGCTGCCCATACCGTATGCACTTATGCACCCCCATACCATCAGAGATGCTGGCTTTTGAACTGAACGCTGATAACACGATGGAAGGTCTCCTCTTCTTTTGTCCGGAGGACACGGCGTCCGTGATTCCAACAAGAATGTCAAATTTGGACTCGTCTGACCATAGAATACTTTTCCACTTTGAAATAGTCCATTTTAAATGAGCCTTGGCCCACAGGACACGACGGCGCTTCTGGATCATGTTCACATATGGCTTCCTTTTTGCATGATAGAGCTTTAGTTGGCATCTGGAGATGGCACGGCGGATTGTGTTTACCGACAGTGGTTTCTGGAAGTATTCCTGGGCCCATTTAGTAATGTCATTCACACAATCATGCCGATGAGTGATGCAGTGTCGTCTGAGGGCCCGAAGACCACGGGCATCCAATAAAGGTCTTCGCCCTTGTCCCTTACGCACAGAGATTTCTCCAGTTTCTCTGAATCTTTTGATGATGTTGTGCACTGTAGATGATGAGATTTGCAAAGCCTTTGCAATTTGACGTTGAGGAACATTGTTTTTAAAGTGTTCCACAATCTTTTTACGCACTCTTTCACAGATTGGAGAGCCTCTGCCCATCTTTACTTCTGAGAGACTCTACCTCTCTAAGACATCCCTTTTATAGCTAATCATGTTACAGACCTGATATCAATTAACTTAATTAGTTGCTATAGATGTTCTCCCACCTCAATCCTTTCTAAATGTATTGCTTTTTCAACCATTTGTTGCCCCCGTCCCAACTATTTTGAGACCTGTAGCAGGCATCAAATTTGAAATGAGCTCATTTAGTGGATTAAAGTGTAAAATTTCTCCGTTTAAACATTTGTTATATTATCTATGTTCTATTGTGAATAAAATATTTCCAAATTTGATTTGAAAGTCATATAGTTTTAATTTTATTCAAATTTAAAAAATGTCCCAACTTTTCCGGAATTCGGGTTGTACATTTGGAACTTTATTTCATAATCTATGTTAATGAATGATATCTTATAGTAAAGCATTGGCATACCTAGTTATAAAATGTATGTGCATAGCATAGCTATTCTGGTAGACTTTAATGAGAAATGTTAACTTTTGATTGCAGAAATGAATATTATTATTATTATTTAGTTGCTGTCTAAGAGAGACAATTAGCTTATTAAAGAGATCTGCATTTTTAAAAAACCCTCTCCATATTCAGAACACAGATCATACTAAGATTTAGATATCTAGATTTAGAGTTAGGTACTTATATGGTAATAAGCTGTAACCCTATTGGGAAGCTTGAGAGTACATGGGGGTAAAAAAGAGAGGTAAAACGTGTATGTCTGTTGAAGGAAGTGCAAAACTGTGACCAACTAATAAGTGCGTCTCAAAGCTTCTAGTATGCTCACAGATTGTTTATACAGATGTTGATGGAAACACATAGTGCTGTGGGTTTTCTCTTTCTTCTTTTCCTCTCTGTTGCCTTTTGCACTCGTTCTCACTATCTCGCTCTCTTTTCCTCCCTCTTTTCTTCTCTGTCATTTGGCAGCTGTTTTCAAAGTGCAATGTGGTGGAAAGCAAGTCTTTGATATGAAGCCTGTATGTGTGTGTGTTCAAAATTTCTCCTCTCTGAAATGTGATCTCGAATTGCCTCTTTCCCAGCATTCATATGTTTTTTCCATGACACTGATTGGATGCTCTTTTACGGCACCTTTGGATACAGTTATGAGCTGCAGTTTACTCCGACTCTACATGTTCCTCCCTGTTTCTGCAGCTAAATAAAAGCCTTTAATCTCGCCACCAGTCTGTCTCTCGCTTTCTTTCGCCCTCAGCGGGATGTGCTTCACAGAGCTGTGCTCTCTGTTTTTGATTTGCACAGTTGGATTATTTAGCAGGTCATATTTACTTCTGTTCTGTGTGGTTTATTTAACATTTTATTTTCAGCTGCTATAACTGTTAGTCAGAGTTTTTGTTGTGCATTTTGGCATTTCTGTCTAATATTATTTCTATTGACTTCATGTGAATTCTCAAACTAATTGTCTTTTTCTCTGTTTTGCAGGTAAGATCCTCTGCTGAATGTGAGAAGCACCTCTTCCTGCAGAGATACAGGTGTGTGTGTGTATGTGTGTGTGTAAGAGAAAGGGGTGGGATGTGTTTTTCTCAGATGGGTAATTAAAGACTTCTGAAAATGACATGCCTAGAATTCTTCAGTTTTCCCTCACATTCCTTTTTTTAACTCCTTGTAAAAATGGAATTTGTGTGTGTGTGTGTTATGATTATAGCTGTTGTGTCCAGACGCCAAACTCTGTCTGTTCTAGGTTGCTGCAGGATTAATTTCTTTGAGTGAAGTTAGGGGTGGAAAAGAACTGACCTATAAAGTCTATTTCATTCTGTTGTTTTGTGTGTGTGTGTGTGTGTGTGTGTGTGCAATCTGGCTGCAGTTGTGTGAAGACGGAGTCTGTCCTCTCTGAATTGTCATTTGCTGCTATAGTATTCCGTAACACACATTCAAGGGAACAATAGCGGGAACAATTTTCCTTTGAAAGGTTTTATTTTATAGATTGTGAATTGCATTATCGTTTTGAAAAGAATAGCTGACGTGCAATTAAAACTGTCATCACCATCACCCATATGTCATTATTTTCTTTGTTAGCACAAAATGTTAAGCAAAATACCAGAGCTAATCTTTTATATTGAAGGAAAATGGTGTTGATTTATTAATTCCAGACATAAAAGCACTATAAAAGTAGGCCTGTAAATAATAGGCCATGAAAATAGTCAACATTTGGTTAGTCTCCTGAACTAAGTCTCCTGAAGCTATTCAGTTGCTTTGTGTGAGAAATAGACTTTTGAATATTCCATCCATTGAAAGTTCATGCAAGTACCAAAAAATATCGCACAAGCTCTATGCATGTCACACTCAATGTTTTTATATGACTAATAGCCTGAGTAATGTGTTTTCAGCATGTCGAATTCGATTAAACTGCTTAATTCACATAATTACTTTTTATGATGTCTTTTTTGTAATTTTTGATATGTGTGTATATACTTTCAATTGAAGGACAAAAATGATGAGAGTTCAAAAGTCTTTTGGCTTGGGATGAGTAAATGATGGCATGGTTTTCAGTTTTGAAATCTGATGCAAACATATTATAAGTGGCTATCATATTTTTACTGAAAGCCACGCTAGTATTCACTAAAATCTTCATTTAATTCTTATGGGTAGTTCTGTAAAGCTTGCTTGCAGCGTACAACAGTAAACAAGGTTTAGCCGAAGGGTCAATTACTGTGGTCAGGTTCAATTCATGTACTCAAACACACACACACACAAACACACTCACCCTTTATTTAAGGTCATGAGTGCGGCAGCCTCCTGAATGAGAGAGAGATGCATGATTATGAAAGCGGGATCTCATGGAGGTTAGCCACCACTTTGAAATCTCTAATTAAAACTCACCACACTCTCACACACACTGAACTGTTCTACTTCTGTATTTTGGTTCTTGGTTTTGCATGGATACAAAATGGCAAACCAAATCAAAATCTCAGTGCTTATCTGTCTTTCTTACACTCTGTATCTGTCTGTATCTGTTTTTCCTCTCCCCATCTTTATTAACAAACACTTGCAATTTTTAGACTTGGGCAATATAAAAACATCCTAATATTTGATGATATGCAATAGCATTAGCAGTATTTGTGTATTTGTTCTGAAACGACTTAAAATGTAATTTTTTCAGTTAGAGAAACCATATCAACAAAGTGAAATCATTTTTAAAAAATATATATAGTCTAGGCTGATTTTTCACTGTTTTTAATTAAGGAACACAAAGAAGAATGTTATTGAATCATTTATATACAGCATTAAAGAGTGTAGTAATAAATAGCAAAAAGTTCCCTTTCAGTTGCTCGTGTTCGATGTAACATACTCCTACAGTAGTAACCGAGACATTTTTACACCTGCTTTTGGTAAAACATTTGAATCCAAATGACATGTAGAGACATTTGAGTAATGCCTCAAACTGACTGTTGAATGAATCAGTGAATGAGTGGAATCACTAAAATGCACATTTTCAGATGCGCAAGCTATTCAAATATCTATTTTATCACTTATAAGGTGCAGTCCCATTTAGATTTGTTTCGTGAATTTTTGTGGACAATAACCTTTTCAATAGGAATCCACTCAATGGAAAATGTCACATGAGGGCGAAAGACTTTCAGACACAGACTTTGCAACAGACCAACAGAAAGCTGCTTTCTGTCTTTGAAATTTCATCGAAACTTTGCTAATGTCACAGCATCTATACTCACTAGTCATGAGACAGGGAAGGATTGTGAAGCTAGCATACCAAAACACTCTTTAGGAAACCTAACCCACCCCCTGTGGGGAAAACCAAGTTTTTAATGTTGTTTATATATTTGTGTGGTGTTATAATATGTTTTAAGACAAACAAACCATGTGCAAAGTCATAAGTCAACATCATTGCTGAGTATTTCCTGGGGTTATTTTTTGATTGGTTGGTGAATTCTACAGCCCTTCATCAAACTTCTCAACCTACAGCTTGCCTCAGATTGTTTTTAATTAATGCTCAAAAAAAAAAAAAAAAAAAAACAGATTAACAGTATTTTATTTTATTTATTTAACAGAAACAATTTATGGCACTCAGCCATACCAGACTATCTGTGCCTAAATTCTGATTGGGTGTTTTCAGCCCACCTCTGCCCATGCCTAGATTAAAATTGTTGTATTTTTACTGGAATCATCACAAATACTTGATGAATCGCCCAAGCCTAGTTATTTTTGGTTATAATGTTTAGACTATGCAGTGATCTATGCAGTGAAAAATGATTTTATTCATATTCACCACCCGGTTAGGTGATTCCCCTTGAGATTGAGTGTGTGTTTCTGTTTGTGTCTCCACCCTGACAGTTATTTTCATCATTGTGCTCCAGATGCATATTTCCACCCCATGCTGTTTACACGCACAGTAGAAGATCTCCCGGAAGATACACACACTCACACATTACTAGCCTTAGATGAGGGATGGGTGTAGTGAAAATGCATTAAGTAAAAATGTACATATGCTATCTATTTTCTAAACATATTTTTTATTGTTGTGTTCAGAACATATTTCTTCAGTGCTTCTATGGTGATATACTCAGCTGGTGCTGATTGGCCAAAACCTTGATGATGCGCTGATTCTACACCATGGCCCAGGAGGCTCTGTGGAAATACCCACAATCCTCAGCTCCCTGGTGATTGCCTGCTCATTGAATGTTTGTGTTAACCTTTGATTTTATACTGATATTATGCTTTTCAAAAACTAACATTGAAGCTGCACATTTGTAATTGTGAATAATTACATAAAAGTTACAGCATATTGAAACCATACTGTACTAACTTTGCATCTGCATGCTTGTGTGTTTATGAACAGTCTGTGGATGATAAAAGATAATTGTATTATTATATTTGTTGTTGTTGTTGCAGATTTACATTGGCACCTTCTCTGGCTCAACAAGAAAACCTGTACAAGGTCAGTCAGGCCTGTGTCTGGACATGATTTGTGCATCAACTAGTGAGCCAATGGCTATTAAAATTAATCTTTGAGACTAATTGCTTTTGTTAATTGCCGTTTTACATACCCTTTGTATAAATGGTTGAATAATTTTGCCTGATTAAAAAAAATCCAATGTTGCATTGATCCAACATTGTCTAACAGTGTTATTCCCAAACAACGTCAATTTAAACTTTTTTTTTGTTTCACTATGCTAGACAACTACCAAAATAATCAGTTTATTATTTTATTACTATTGTGAATCTGTATCTTTAATTGTTTGTATATTACCATGTCCATGTCAGTAAATGGACTGACAAACTTAAAGTGCACTTTCCCAGGTCTTCTCAGTTCATTTAATATTGGACTGATGGACTCAACCAAAAATGACTTACAGTTCAGTGAGGAACTCTATTGTTAATTCTGTAACAGCTCTAAATGATTCACTAAATAAGTATGATTCCTGACTCATCACAAGATTAAATTAATTTGGAGGCACACTGTTCCCTTCTGTTGCCAATGGTGACTAGATTTTAAATTTAAATTAAATCTCAATTTTTTTACTCAGTCTGGAGCCCTGTTTGTGTTCATCTGTTTTATAAAATGGCAGATTACTGTGTGATTGGTTACATCCTCTTTCCTAGTGAATGTACTGCCTCTAAATCTGCTCTTTGAGCGTTAGTAAAAATCATCTTTTCTTTTGGCATGAAACTGATTTAATTTTCCACCCAATCTCATCATATTATGAACCACTGAGTTGTAAATGAGCTAAAATCACATTCAATTCCAGCCAGATTAAGTTGATTTTAAATGTGGTAATTCAGTTTGGTATCACAGAAGCAGCACAGTGTGCAGTGCTTCTTGAGTAAAGACAAATAAGCTTTTCAACTTTAGTTCAATTAATAGAGGCACGCTTGACCTAAAACATATTGAGAATTCAGCTTAGATTGAAAAAATCAAAAAATATTGTACATTTTATTTTACCTTTTGCATTTGCATTTGCCTGTCTATTGTTAAATGCACTGTTGAATAGGGCTGGACGATTAACCAAAAAATAATCGAAACCGAAATTCAGAGCCTATAACCGACGTGATTTTACCATGTCGGTTATTTCGGTTTTTGAATACTATTAATATATCCGCCCACTGTGTGTACTTTCCCCTTAAAACATAGTAGTCACGTCACTCCACCCCGTCAAGTCTGCGACATTGAAACAACATGAGCCCCTTTCACACAGCGCGTTGATCCCGGGAAATTGCCAGAACAAACACCCGTGTGAACGCAAACACGGCCCGGGATTGGTGCCGCCAGGTTGGGGACAGAGTAACGATTGCTGTGTTCAGTCCATGGTTCAGTCACGGAGCGCGCGCTGTGTGAACAAAAGCCGTAATCAATGTCGCGTTGCAGCCTAATCATGCCGTTTAAGCCAGGATCGTTCGCCAATGTGAAACGATACGTAATGCGCTAGTTTATTATCGAATCAGAGAAAAACAAATGCACAAGCATGGTTTTTCGAAAAAAGAAATCGCAACTCATAAGCAAACTATAGACGCTGCTGAGACTTTGTGGGTTGTGTGTGAACGCACTCTCTGATTCCTAGAATACTGAGTTAACTCAGCAACAGGAGCTGCTAGTACCAAAGAAACGCCCAGCAACAAGTGCCTCCACTCCACAAAGCAGCTTTCGATAACACAAGCATTTACAGATGCTATACAATATGAAAAGGATTCGTTTTTTTTTTGTTTTATACAAGTTATATTTTACTTTTTAGATGGCAATATTTACAATAATTTATTTTATTTAGAAAAATAAATATTTTCTACATTTTTTATATATTTTTAAATATTTAATAAGCATTAAACGCTATCTGTGTGTTTCCTTATTTTAGAATCTCAAAGATTATGCAGTCTTTCATTAGAAAAAAAATACATACATATTTACAGAATAAGCCTTGCCAGTGAAATATGAGAAAGAAAAAAAACTTAAATAATCGTTCAATAATCGTAATCGAGGTGACTTGTATTGATTTTAGACTGATTATGATTTTAGCCAAAATCGTTACAGCCCTTCTGTTGAATGTTTTAAGTGCGATTTTGACTGCTTTTTCACTCTTTCTCACTTTAGCCATGATGTCAGTCTGCGTCCCCTCACCACGTAACCCCTCCCCCTCTGTGGACGTAGCGAATCGCAACGGGCCCTCTGCAACTCCTCCCACTTCCCTCAGCCTGCGTTCCTCACACAATCAACTGCTAAGTGGTGATGTCATCAAACAGGGCCAGGCCACACCTCCGAAGTGCCGGAAGAAGTACGCACTCACAAGCATTCAGAGTGCGATGGGACTCGGCGAAGGCGTGACGCCACCGTCGTCATCTTCAGCAACTACTGCCAACCCTAAACTGGCCAAAAATGGTGCAAATCAGTTACGTAAAGCTGCGGAGCGAGAGGATCACAACAAGAACACGACAGAAGAAGACGAAGATGGAAACACAACTGGCGAATCAGAGCTCAACATCAACGATGAGTTGACGAACGTTGAGGAACTAAGCCTCGACAGTGAGTCTATTGTTGACGACGTTCACAGTGACTTTGACACCAACAACGAGCTTGTTGACGGGGATGTAAATGAGTTGGTTGATGATGAATCTAATGAGGAGGATCATGTGGAGTATTGTGACGACCTGCTCATTCTGTCTGAGAAAACTGAGATTGTTTCAGACAGGAAGTCCCCCGAGCTCCTTAAGACCAAGAGTTTCCTGGAGTCATGTCTGCATGACCTGTCATACGAACTGCCTGATGTGCATGATGAGAATGTCACTAAGCCTTTGCAGGAGAAAGAGAAGAATCCCTGCCCCTCGTCTCCACAGAAACCGCACAGTCCTGAGGACACGCCCCTCCTGTCTGTCGGCTCTTCATCTTCCTCTTCGTCACCGGAGACAAAAAAAGACCGACCACGGACGGGAGCCAAGACTGACCGGGCACTAAACCGCATCCAGAACCTTCCACACAGTGACGAGGAGTCCAGCTGGACCACGTTGTCGCAGGACAGCGCATCACTGGGCTCGCCAGAAGAGAGCGGTCAGTAGTACACATTCAAAGCGTTATGTGTGTAGCTTGCTGGTCTCCTCAGTGTGGTTTGGTGTGTGTGTTTTGGCCTAGTGTAGTGGATATGGTCCACTCATGTGGTATGTGTGGTTTTCAATTTGACTGAAGTGCGTTGGCACTTGGCAGAGAGGTTTTTGTGTGTTTGTACTTTTCACTTCACTGGAGTTTGATCTAGGTAAACGCAGCACAGAGTGTGTCTGGTTTGAGCCTGTGAATGAAAGCTTGTCAAAAGCAAGTTTACTATTTTGTGTGTGTTTTTATGTCATTTTTCACCGTCTCTCTCTCATGTCATTCCAAACCTGTTAGATGTGAACCACAATAAGAAGTTAAACAGAATCTTTATGCTGCTCATTTCCATACAATGCTCTTTATGCTGCCAACCCCGTAAGAGTTGCGTTCATCTTCGGAACACAAATTAAGATATTTTTGATTAAATCTGAGAGCTGGATCATTCCTCCATAGGCTTCTTAATGGATATAAACTGGCCAGCCCAAAAGTTATGAATGACATTGTTAAAATAGTCTGAGTGACTACAGTGGCTCAATTTTAAGTTTATCAAGCAACGAGAATACTTTTTGTGCGCAAAAAACAAACAAAAATAGCGACTTTATTCAACTATTCATTTCCTTCTCTGTGGGCCTTGACATTTCACTTAGTGAAACAACTCAAAGCTTCTAGGTTGTATCACACACATGACAAGCATCGCCCAATAGTGAGCCTGCGTGTGACGTGCAGCACAGAAGCTTTGCGCAGTTATACTACATGAAATCTCACGGCCCACAGAGAAGGAAATGAATAGTTGAAATAAAGTCGTTATTTTTGTTTGTTTTTTGTGCACAAAAAGTATTCTCATCGCTTGATAAAGTTAAGATTGAGGCACTGTAGTCACTCGGACTGTTTTAACACTGTCTTTCATAACTTTTGGGCTGGTTAGTTTAGATCCATCAAGAAGCCTATGGAGGAGTGATCCAGCTCTCAGATTTAATCAAAAATATCTTAATTTGTGTTTCGAAGATGAACGAAGGTCTTACTGGGTTGGAACAACATGAGGGGGAGTAATTACTGACAGAATTTTTATTATTTGTGTGAACTATTCCTTTAATCAACCTCTACAGGTGTGGTTGAGGTGACTGAAAATAGAATAAAATAAAAAAATGTAAACTTTATTTATTTGAGCTAGTTGGCAAGGTTAATTTAGACTACTAAAATAACTAAAAATGAAATAAAATTGAATAAAAACTATATAGTTTTTATATAAAAAACTAAAAACTATATTTTTAAATAACGCAAAAATCAATTGAAAATTGCAAAATCTCAACAAAATGAGTAAAACTTGAATTAAAGTTAAAAGGATAAAAGAAAAAAGAAAACTAATATCTGTAGTATCTATAGTAATGATTATAAAAAAGCAGGTTAAATAATGTACAGGTATGCATGGACAGACTGATGAAGACTTTAGCTTGACTGTATAAAAATAATAATTAAGCTAAAGAATCTGTCTGTCCAAGCATACATGAGCGAGTAACCAGCTATTTTAGTATGTAAAGTATCTAAAGGTTCTTAGGAGATATTTTGAGGAATTTAAAGCTGTTTTTGCCCACATTCATTTTAAAGGCGCTCTATGCGATGTCGGGTGACGTGACTTCTTGTTGACGTTTAAAGTATTTTTTAAACAAAACGGAGCCTAGATAGACCCTCCCTCCTTTTCATCTGTGCACTGACCCCCCCAAACCCCACCCCCAGAGCCTTCTTGTCAGTTATTGGCTGGAACAGTTTGTTATGTTTCGTGGAGTGGGTTGCCGCAGTTTGTTTTTGTTGCCATTTGTGGAGCCTAGATTGTCTGCATAGACCTAATTTTTTTACAGTGTGTTTAGGGGACAGGCAGCTAGCGGATAGTGAGGAGATGTTTGCTGTATGTGACAAAAAATGTTTGGGCCTAAAAAACGTGTGACATCGCTTTAATTAGACACTATTGTATTACACAGAAGAAAAATCACAGGTTTGGAACAGCATGTAAAAGGAGCGGTGATATTTCAACTAGAGTGGAGAATGACTTTCTGAAGATTCTGCTCCACTCGCTCATTCCGCTAAGGTTATGGAGTTCAAATATTGTTTTAATGAAGTTGCGAACCTTTTACATAAATGCATAGTAAACATCAAAGGGTAACACTTTACTTGAAGGGGTGTGCATAAGACTAACATGACACCTTCATAACCATGACATGAAATATGTTCTGAATATGAAGGAAGTTTTATGCAAGTTTGTGACAACTGTCATTAAGTGTCATTCGCTCAGTTATGAAATTTTTTATGCAAATATGACATTGTTTGAGATGTCTTTGTTTTGACACCTTGACATAAACCAATACATCATATTGTCAGTGTCTTTGTCATGACAACTTGACATTACTAAGACAACACAACCTGTCATAAACATGACATAGCAGATTAATTATCAAATTTAAGAAACCACCTAGCTTTATTGGTTAACATTATTAAACTGTCAGGTGGTTGGTTTTGACATTGGCTGACATGAAGCCGTTATAACTTTTTAATGACAAACTCAATTTGTACCACTGTAGTTGAGGTCTCGAAAAATAGTCATGACAGAGTTATAATGGCCTCATGACAGCCAATGTCAAAGCCAACCACATGATAGTTTAACTTAGTTTTATGTCAAGTTGTCATGACAAAGACACTGACAGGTTATGATGTTATGATTTATGTCAATATGTCATAACAATGTCATCTTATACAGTGTCATACTTGCATTCAAAATGTCATTATTGAGTGAAAGACACTTGATGGCAGTTGTCATAAACATGCATAAATCCTATGTCATGTCATGGTTATGAAAGTGTCATGTTAGTGTAAGTAAATTGTTACCAATCAAAGTTAAGAACTATGGAAAATAAGGAATTGAAAGATAGTGTGGAGTTGCAAAAATTCATTTTGTGATATACTAAACAAAGTTTTTTTTATTTTTTATTATTTGCTTAGGTGTAAAAAGAGGTTTGAAATACCTTTGCAGTGATACTGTTAATGAACTGTTTCTTTTTCATTACAAACACAAATACATTTGTACATAAAAATGTAATTTTGAGCGGGATCTGTGCAAACGTGAGCGGTACATGAGTGGAGCGTTTGCTTGGGCCACGACACGAGCGATTGAGTGGAGCGCAATGGCATAGAGTGGAATATTGAGCAGAGCGTCACACCGCTCCGCCTCGCTCACATGCTGTGGTTTGGAACAAAATTAGGATGTGTAAATCATTTTTATTTTGGGGTGAAGTGAACTATACATGCAACCCATGTTGTACATGTTTTTTACAATGATATTAAATTGCGCTGATTTTTAAATTTTTTTGTAATATCACTGGGGTGAGTCAAAATGGCTGTTTCGGTGGTAAGGAGTCTCACCACTGACACAGGGTCTGTCAATATCTCTCTCAGTAGACAGGAAAACCTCACAGGTGTGTGGCAGGTCTGTTCAGCCAGCATGGTGGGTAATGGACAGCTGCGAACTGGTTTTACACCCAGATGTTAGCTGGGATCTCCGCAGCAGACTATGATGCACATTCACAATTCCTGCACATTCATCTCATCTCTCTACCACCATTTCTGTCTTGTCATACCAAGGTTACATGACCACACGTTGGGTGACGCTGTAGGAAAAATTATCTTGGGGTTGCCGGGGTGACAGATCGTTCTGCAAAAGAGGTGGGTTTGATTGGCCTAGTGACCAATTGCGTGTGCCGGATTGACAGGAAGCCGATATATCTCTTCCTGCAAGATTTAGATATAGAAATAAACAGCATATAAACAGAGTCTGTCTGTTGCTCTCGCATTCTCACCCACCCCGTCTCTCCCTCTCCCTTTCTCCATCAGTCGCTCGCCCCCTCTGTCTCTCGTCGCCTCTACCTCTGCTTTCCTCTCTCTTCTCATGTCATCCTCTCTTCTTGCGGCTGCTCAGTCATGATGCTGGGTAAAGACTACATGTTGGCCATTGTTATAGTGAATTACGAGGGTAGGTACCGTGTGTCGGTGTGTCTGGTTGTGAGTCAGTGCTGCGCATGTAGCTACGCGTCTCCGTTGCGTGTGCATGCTCATAAATGCAGGCGGAGAAGAGAGATAAGGAAGGAGGGAGGATGCAGTGAAGGGTGTCACGAGCTGTGTGGTGAATTCTAAAGTTTCTGCATATGTTCATGGCACTTGGGTCCGTCCGTGTGTGCGTGTGGGCATGAATTTTACAGCTGTCCTCCCCTCCCCCTCTGCCCGCCACATGCTTTTAGAGAATGCAGAAAGAGACAGACATTATCGAAAGTGGGTCGAATGTTAAATCTAGCATAGAAAACTAGGTTTAGGATAGCAACTATAGTATAAGCCAGCACACTGTTTACCTGTGTTTAAAATGAAGTAGCTGCTGTTATTTTTTGCTGAAAAAAAACTCAAAATCATTAAATGCCAACCTGTTTATTGTCTGTATTTCTTTGTATTTGAATCTGAATGAAGGTTTTTTTGTCTCTGCGATGAGGTTTTCAGGCAGCTGTAGTGACCCACTTATATCAGGGACTACAAGTCCCATAATGCACCTTGGAATAATACTCAGTATTAAAAGAACACTACAGCTCCTGTACTGCAGTGCCTTGTTGTTTTACTAAAAGGGAACTTGGGAGACATTTCTAATAAGCACTCGTGTTCACTTAGCATGCATGACTAGTGGTGGCTTACAGCTCTTTCACTCAGTCAGTTCTGTTGGCTAATTATTAGATATCATTAAAGTGAAACATACCCGAGAACAACAGTGAGGCGACTCAACTCAAGCTTTCTTCTTCAACACACAGTGATACTATTTATCATAGTTAACTAAAACTAAATCCATAAAAACGTTTTCGTTATTTGAAAGAAAATCAATGTTAACTATATAAAATGTAAAAAACATTTTATTTCAGCGAGATGTCATGGTTAATTTA